TCCATCTGCGCCACTGGAGCTAATGTTTTACAACCACTTTTAACTCAATGTAAATAGACACCCCGTATTTTTTTATTCCAGAATAAGGGCAATTCATACAATACATTTAAACTGAGCTACTTTAATACCATCTCCGAACTTTCTACCACGACTCTGCTGTTCTTCGGCTGGTTCTTCCCTGTATACGTTGACGTCTTTTTAAGCCATTCGGTACTCGCGCTCTCCAGAGGCGCGTGCGCTCACAGTCACATCCAAAGCGCGTACTGCGAGTACCAAATTGAGAAAGTACTGTCGGGTTTGTCTTAAGTTAATGTAAACAGTTGCAAAATAAAACGCATGAGTATCAGTATTGGATCTGTGAAATAGGTCTTGTGACAGCAGCCTAGCTGTGCCGTCTTTTATTAATGTTAATCAAACAACAAAACTTACTGCTCTTGACTAAATGTTTTGTTGAATAACTTTTAATGTTAATTTACAGTTTATTCAATTTCTGTAGCCTATTTAAAACACGTTCATAATTTAGAAAATGTAGTTAATACTTGCATCATTAATGATTTATTTTATCCACCCGCGACCCACCCGCAAATAATCAGAATGCATTTTTTTATTACCCGACCCACCCGATCCGTGGATTATCCGCAGCGCCAGCGGATATAACCGCCATCCGCGCATCACTACCTCTTAGCCAATTATCGAATATATTCTTCTTTGTGTATGTTTCGAAAATCTACTGACAGCATTGCCAATGATTAGAATTGTTTTCTGTTTTTAGAATATTCTAGTGAATTTTGTGTAAATAAGAACTAATTTCATTTTAGCAGTTATGTTTGTTAATTTTGTTCTTAATTATGATTCTAAGCATATATATACTCCAGTTAGGATATTGTGATGCACTCAAAAATCCAGTTGCAGTCCAAGATATACAGGTGAACACCTTCATTTCTTTGTATGTCTTTCCTGTTCTTCCTTGCTGTAGGTGTGCACACATGTTTTGTGTGTAAAACTCCTGATAAGGAGGTCAGGAGGTGTATGATCCCTGTGTGTGGGAAGTTTTATCACATGGAATGCATACTGAAATATTCCCCCACCGTCACTCAGAACCGCGGCTTCCGCTGCTCCCTCCATGTCTGTCTGGCCTGCTACATCACCAACCCCGCCAACCCTGGTATTTCCAAAGGTGACTAATTCAGATGTTACATTTGAAAAGATTATTTAAAAAATAAAATATGTTTGAACGTATAACAAAAGCATGATTTGATGTCATTGATCATAACTTGTCGATCTCACAGGCCGCTTGACACGCTGCGTCCGCTGCCCTGTGGCCTACCACGCCAATGACTACTGTATGGCTGCCGGCAGTGTCCCGTTGGCCAATAACAGCTTCCTGTGCCCTAACCACTTCACTCCACGCAAAGGGTGCAAAAACCATGAACATATTAACGTCAGCTGGTGTTTTGTGTGTTCTGAAGGTGTGTAGTCCAGTCCTCGTGGTTCCCTCTGTTAAAATTATTAGTGGTGCTTGTTAAGGGTATTATTTTCTAAGCAAGCAGACTTGCTTAGTTTTTGCCTGGTGAGTAATAAAAACAGACCCTACAACATCCAGCATCATGGCAGCAAGTTTTGCATTAGCAAGCACTAGGGGTGTAACGATTCACTCATTTTCTCAACGCATCAAGTACAAATCCTGCTGAAGCTGATGCGCTGAAACATGGATTTTTGAAGTGAGAATTGTTTGTATCGGTCAAGAATCAATTTAAAATGGAATGATTCATGATGTAGTCCAAACGAGTCGTTCGTTGTAGTTTTTGAAAAGTGATTTCTGTTAAATAAAATATCTCCTTTTGAAGTGGACTTTGAGCTTTGTAACTTTGCAGATCTTTTTTATGCTCAAACAGCAACATTACAGACTACCTAAAGTTGAAAAAGTGAAAAAGCATAATAGGACCCCTTTAACTCTCATTGAAACTTTTTCTGAGCAGCTTTCCGAGCAATTCGTGTTTGATCTCTCCGCAGGTACAGATGACAGTGAAATAGTTTTGAGTCAAACATGCACAAATCGTTGATAAGGCTGCCAACGCATTGGTTGGCACTACTATTACCACTCCTACTGAAATAAAATGCTTTAATTGCATGAAAACCTCGCCACTATTTTCTAAACGAGAAAATACAGAATCAAATCATTAATCAGAATCGAATTGAATCCCATTGTTAATTGAAATTCTACATTTGCAAAAATCATTCCTCATCATCTATGAATTGTCAGTTAAATTGATTTCTCAAAAAATTCACACCCCAAGCAAGTAACTTTGGCATGTTCTTCAGAAAATGTAAAAATCTAATTTGTGTTATAGTGAGTCATGAGGACAGAGCAAACATTTTACTACGGTTGTTTATTACAATTACATTTGTTTTCTGTCTCTCCTTATAGGAGGAAGTCTGCTTTGCTGTGAATCTTGCCCTGCTGCCTTTCACCGTGAGTGTCTGAACATTGACATGCCCCAGGGAAGCTGGTTCTGTAACGACTGTCGAGCGGGAAAGAAACCCCACTACAAGGACATTCTGTGGGTCAAAGTGGGCCGCTACAGGTTTGTGTGTTGTTTCACCAATACCATTTTCCCCTGAAAATTACAGTGCAATGTTCACTGATGTATTTCTGACCTTTTGTTCCAGGTGGTGGCCCGCTGAAGTGACTCAACCAAAAAACGTTCCTGAGAACATCTACCGCTTGAGGCATGAGGTGGGGGAGTTTCCTGTGCACTTCTTTGGCTCCAAAGACTACGTGTGGACATATCAGGCTCGCTGTTTTCCCTACATGGAAGGGGATGCCAACAATAAGGAAAAAATGGGAAAGGGTGCAGATGCCGTCTATAAGAAAGGTAGTTTTATGCAATAGCAGAATTCTAAAATAGTCAACACAATCAAACACAATTAACTAATTAGGTGCTATACTAACAATCGATTTATCTGTTCACACTGTGCTTCAAAACATGTTTGCTATCTAAAATATGGCTATGTGGAGTGGGAGTTTGGACACATAAATAATATATGAGGTTTTGAAGCTGGTTTGGAGAAACTTGACATTGACTTCTGTAACATGGAGGAAATCTGATTAATCTTCTGCTATCTTGACACGTTATCACATTATGAGTGATTATGACAATGAAAACAAAATGTTTTTTATAAAAGTTTGTTAGAAATGTGAGGGTTTTAATTGATGTAGGCTTTTATGATACCACTTCAAGCCTGCCAGTTGTAGCAACTATTGATTAGCGTTTACAGTGTGGATTCTTTCATTGTTAAGAGTAAACCGGTTTAAAGAACCATTTTTCTTTTTCTCAGCTTTAAATGAAGCAGCCGAAAGATTCAGGGAACTGCAGGCGGAGAAGGAGATGAGACAGCTTCAAGAAGACAGGAAGAATGACAAGAAACCTCCGCCATACAAACACGTAAAGGTAAAATAACAAATGCTCAGATAGTGACACTGATCTCATGTTGTTATCTCTCATGCACACTGATCGATTTTCACTCAGATGAACAGACTGATAGGGAAGGTGCAAATCATCACAGCAGATCTGTCGGAGATCCCACGCTGCAACTGCAAAGTCTCAGACGAGAACCCGTGTGGCATCGACTCGGAATGCATCAACCGCATGCTAATGTACGAGTGTCATCCTCAAGTGTGTCCAGTAGAGGAACGCTGTCAGAACCAATGCTTCACCAAACGCCAGTACACTGAGGTGGAGATCTTCAGGACGCTGTCGCGTGGTTGGGGTTTATGCAGTGTGTCTGACATCAAGAAGGTGGCCTATTTTTACACACACACACACAAACACACACACAGATTATGATGTCTCTCTTCCCCATTTAATTACATTACGTTACTCCACCATAGGGAGCTTTTGTGAATGAGTATGTTGGAGAGGTCATTGACGAAGACGAGTGTCGAGCCAGGATCAAACACGCACAGGAAAACAACATCTGTAACTTCTACATGCTCACACTGGATAAGGTCAGTCACCTGGGGTGATTCTCAATCCTGATGTTCCCCACTTACCTTGACACTGGGCTCTGTTTTCTGTGTATGTGCAGGATCGGATAATAGATGCCGGGCCGAAGGGAAACCAGTCGCGTTTTATGAACCACAGCTGCCAGCCGAACTGTGAGACACAGAAGTGGACGGTGAATGGAGACACCAGAGTCGGGCTTTTTGCATTAGAGGACATTCCTACAGGTGAGTTTGAATCTGAACCAGGTAATATGGTGCTAGAAAGTGGGTGAATGTTTGTTTAATAGATTTGTTGGCTGTTCTCAGGTGTTGAACTCACTTTTAACTATAACTTGGAGTGTCTTGGTAATGGGAAGACGGTGTGTAAATGTGGAGCGCCCAACTGCAGCGGATTCCTTGGTGTCAGACCAAAGGTATGGCATGCATTGTGTATTATGTTCAGGGTTAAAGTTGGTGTATGTCATTATTCATATTCCGGCATACTCGGTGTGATCACACTTTCTCTTCAGAATCAGCCCTCATCTGAAGACAAGGTGGGGAAACTGAAGAAGAAGGTTGCTGTGAAGCGTAAGAGCCAGTTAGAGGTCACCAAGGAGCGGGAGGATGAATGTTTCTACTGTGGTGATGGAGGGCCGATTGTGTCTTGTAAGAAGCTCGGCTGCCCCAAGGTCTATCATGCCGACTGTCTGAATCTGTCCAAGAGACCTGCAGGTGAATGACTCAAGAACACTAGTCTCTTGTATCTAATTTGTTTTAACAAGTTTCATTGTCTTAAAGGGATAGTTCACCCAAAAATGAAAATTCTGTCATTAATTACTCACCCTCATGTCGTTCCAAACCTGTAAGACCTTCATTCATCTTCGGAGCACAAATGAAGATATTTTTGATGAAATCCGACAGCTTTCTTACCCTGCATAGACAGCAATGCAACTGACACATTCAAGGCCCAGAAAGGTAGAAGGACATTGTTTAAATAGTCCATGTGACATCAGTGGTTCAACCGTAATTTTATGAAGGTGCGAGAATACGTTTTGTGCACAAAGAAAACAAAAACAATGACATTATTCAACAATTTCTTCTCTTCCATGTCAGTCTTCGACGTGCATTCATGAGAGTACCACGACGCATGCGTGTGGTGATGCTGATGCAGGAGCCGGCGTTCTGACGTAGAACATCCATCTCTCTTATGGCGCTTTTCCACTGCATGGTACGGCTCGGTACGGTTTACTTTTGGCGGGCTTTCCACTGGGTACAGTACCTGGTACTTTTTTTAGTAACACCTCAGTTGCGGTTCCAAGTGAACCGTACCATTACTAAATGTGACGTGTAAACTGCAGATCACGGATTGGCCGGAGAGAATCGTCACTAGCTGCGTCACTGAACTTGAGACACAAACTCAAGATTTAGTTAGTTAAAACCGCTAGATTTAAATCAGCACAGCCAGCGAAGGATCAAACGCAACTGTTTTGAACGAGCGCACCTTTTTTTAACAACCAAAAAGTGGCTGTTTCGTTGTCTGTTGAGGAAGTACAGACGTTCCTCTCGTTGATAGCAGAGGAGCGGATCCAGCGAGAGCTTGATGGGGCGACGCTTAATGAAAAAGTTTTTCCAGGAGTCGCGGCAGTAGAGGTGACGCAACTATAACGACATGTGAATAATCCCGCCCACTCTAAAGCGATACTAAACTGCAGTGGAAACGCGAGCCGTGCTGTACTGAGCAGAGTTGTACCACGCAGTGGAAAAGCGCCACTAGTTCATCTGTATATTCTGGTTCAAATAAATAAGGCTGGGCAAAAAAAACCGCAAGTCATCCACTCTGTCAAAATCTTCAGACATTTGTTTACAAAGACTGTTTTATGTACAGCGTGCATCTTTTTCTGCTTGTAAACAAGGCGCAGCGCATCAGATCGGTGGGTCTTGCGTCAGCAGCACCACACGCATGCGTCGTGGTACTCTTGTAAATGCACGTCGACTGACACGGAAGAGAAGAAATTGTTGAATAAAGTTGTCATTTTTGTTTTCTTTGCACACATAACTCGTAGCTTAATAACATTACGGTTGAACCACTGATTGTCAGAAACGAGACCGGGATCCAACTGCAGGTGAAAACAAATTCCAAGTTTATTGAAACTGGGATAACAAAAAGTCAATAAATCAGCCGGATGGCAAAACCCCAGCAAAAAGTCAGTTCAGGTCAGCGCGGAGGTTAGACCAGCCGCGGTCGAGCCCGCGGGGAAGAGAGACGGCGAACCGGCAATAGAATGCCGCCGATGAATCCCAGGGGTGGTATCTAGCGTGGATAGAGAGGAATAGGACGGAACTGCCGTGGAGAGACAGGCCTATGAGTAGCGAGAGCCAAGGAAGAGAGCCGACCAGAGCTCTAGGGAGGCAGGAGGGTAGAAAGGGGATGGTGACAAAAACAGGAACGCCATACCGACTAGACTAGAAAAAATAAAAACTGATTCAGACAAACACAGCATGGACAGAGACGATCTAAGCTGCTGCACAACATATTACGGACTGACACAAGATAGCATCCAAGAGGGCCAGATAAAGGGAAGAATAATGAGGACAAAACGAGGTGCAGGTGAGAAGGAAGAATTAGCTAACAGGGATAACGAGAGGGGCGGGGTGAACACCTGGATGACAGCAGAGCACATGGCAAGCCGTCAAAACAAAAGGCCATGTGCTCCATGATAACAAAGCCCAAGTAGACCCCACC